ACGGTACAAGATAAAAAGTTAATGGGAGCGGACAGGCACAGGAACCAATAGGACAAAAAAAAACCTTAGGACAGGCGTTGCCATTTTGTATAGGGATGCACGATATTATCAGCATGGTATCGGTATCGGCCGATATTTGCGTTAAAGTTAAATGTCGGACATCGGCCATTCCATTAAAATAACTCACCGATATAAAAGGTTCTGTTTTTGTATGACAACCCAGTGACAAGGATGCCTGCAGCGCCAGCACAACGTGATGACATCACACGCGCCTACCTGATCTGATTATGGCGGAGAGGAAGACGTCAAAATGTTGGTGGTGTGGAAGTTTTTTTTCCGTTGAGGAAATTGAATTCTGAAGATTTTTGGAATACGTTGAGCCTCACTACATCATCCCCAGTCTGAGATATTTTTCAGACGTAACCTTACCCGAGTTACAAGCCGTCACTTCCAACGTCATTAAGAAGTTGATAGCCGATAGCACTTGGTTGAGTTTTACCACAGACATGTGGACATCAAGTGTTAGCCCTGTTAGCATGATTAGTCTTACGGCACAATGGATAGACAAAAACTTTGAACTTAAAAAGGCTGTCCTTCATGCACAAGAGTGCAGAGGATCCCACACTGCAGCTATAGGAGCCTGGAACAAGCCTCCACAAGTGAGACAGCATCACAGGTGACTAATGCTAATAAATAACATTTAACACTTTTCATTTAATATAAGTTAAAGTGCTATGCATATGGCTGTTGCTGAATATATGTCCCCAGCTGTTGCACTTTTTTTTTGCAAATAAGCCTAAATAAGACGGCTATGTTCTGACAAAGGAAAGAATAAAAATATTGGTATCAGTATTGATTATCGGCCAAAAAAAGTTTTAACATATCGGACAAAAATCTAATATCGATTTGTGCATCCCTATTTTTGTAGTTTTCTTTCAGTAAGCCTACACTGTAACGCAAGTCAAAAGAACTACATGGCCCAGAAGCCAACAGTGCTTCCGACCGCTGATTTCTGCTGAAATTCAAAGAACAGCAATGGAGGGAGCAAACACTAGCGGAATAAGCCGATGTGGTAAAAATAGCTTTGCAACGCAAAGTCAGAAGTAACGAATCTGATCTATGTACTAATCTCGCAGAACTGGCAGGAAAGTTGCAAATAATCCTGAAGCTGAACTCGTCCTTCACGGTCTAGTATCTTTACTGGTGAGTATGTAAAATTTTGCAATACTGTAAAGTTCATATACGCATGTTGTTAAAATTACGTATGTTTAAAAGTTTAGAACATTGTTAAGAACATTGCAAGAGTGTGGAAAGGGTTTATAAAGCCTTAAAATATTTATATAAATACTAAACTAAATATAATGTTCCTACTTCGCGAATTTTCACCTATCGCAGGGGATGTCTGGAACGTAGCCTCCGCGATGTGAGGGAATACTGTATTCCATTACTTTAAAAGTCTTGTAATTACAGCTCAACTGATGGGAGTTTTGTCCGAAACAAGAATTGTAGCAGTTCATTGTGCAAACACATTACAGTTAATAAATAGTTCATAAAACCCATAAAGATGTTTGAGATGACTCCAGCAGAGCGAGAGAAACTTTGACGTTATGTGTTCAGCAAAGCTGTCGACCTGATCCTCCTTTAACAAACACAGACGATCTTCTTGGAGCTAAAATTAACAGAACGTTCCTCCAACAATTCCTTTAAAACCCCTTCTCACGTTGCAATTTTCAGCCAACGCAAACGAACTCTGCGAGCTCCAGATTCTAACATCTTGACGGTAACCCCTGTCCCACTGGGAGATGAGATTCAATAGATCCCAGACTGTGCAACCTTTTGCCTCAGGAGAATCGAGTCCCAAAGATTCGACACAGACTTTGGCCCAGCAGTAAAAGGAAATTAAGCGCTCCGCAGATTCAAGCTCACAGCTAAAGATAGTCTTACTGTAATTTTCACAATAAAAGGGTTCGTCTAAGATGAACAAGAAGCACGGGGCGAACGAAAGAAGTGGTCCCAAAACTTTTCAGTCGTCCACGTGTGTAAAAGACGTCACAGATACTGGCTGAAGTATACAAACATTAACAATAAGTCAATTAACAAAGTACCCTGTCAATCAATATATTGGGTTTTTACCCATTTATGATTAATATTTTTATCTGACACAGTTAAAGCCAAATGGTTTAAGTTATTATTTTGAAAGTTGATTGTATTTCTGTAGATCTTGTCGAGACCTGTTGTTTATAACTCAAGCTTTGGGAAATTAGGCTTAATGACCACATTTTGGTATGGGCTTCAAAATATTGAGCATTTAATATGTATAATGTAGCACAAGATGGAAACCTAGAGGTCGGCCAATGTTTTTTTTTTTATAGTTGATACCTTTTTTTTTTTAGAAATCTAGAAGCTCAAGGCTGATAAACACCACTTTTTTTAAATATTTTTGGCTAATATGTATTTACCGTGTAACAAAATAGAACAATATTTGCCCAATTAATACATGTAGAAGCACTTGAATGTTAAAAAACAACATAGATAAGCATTTTTACGTAAAAAAAAAACCTCAATTGTAAATACCAAAGTTCATGCTCAGTAATCCAGGTAATAATCCAACAATGTTCAGTCAGGTCATCTGGATGGTTTCCAGTGGATTTTTTTTTCCCACTATGGGAGTGTGCTGTTTGTGGTGGGACTCAGTTTGTTGGTGGCTCATCAGATTGACGAAACCGTCCAGATGAACTGACTAATCAAATGGGGTTGCAAAGGAGCAGAAAGGTTCTGGCAAATTTCCGGAAACTTCCAAATAACTTTCCATTAGGAGGTTAGGCTGGGACCATTATGAATTAATCCAAATTGAAATATGAATTAATGGGAATTCACTGGAAAATGGGAATAATTTAAACACATTCAAAGGAACAATATAAGTCTTTTTGTTTTTGTCATGAGTTTGACCAAAAGTTTATAAAAGTAACAATTTATTGAGCTAATTTGCATGTGATGACATCACTGTGTCTCAACTGCACAACTTCTAAAGAATAATGGCGGGTGTTATAAACGTTTTGACACCTGTTATAACCCTCGTCTAAATTTAAGCACACAACGCTGAACAAAAAATATTCACATCATATTATTTTTGATTGACCTCAACATCAGTAAATTGCATTTCACAACAAAATCTTTTACATCTATCCCAACATGTCCAGGTGGCGTACAGGTACATGGTGTTAAAACCTGATTGTTTGAGTCAAGACTGTGCAAAAAATATATTTTCCCTTAACTATTTAAAGTCAAAGTTGTAGCCAACCTTCAGTACTCCCATGGAAATTTTCAAACTTTAAAAGTGACTGCAGTAACCTCCTTGGTCAGTTGTTGATTTTTCGTTTTTCAAAGTGCAATATTGGTCATTTAAACCCGATTTGTAGATTTTCAAATCCTCTCTGAACAAAAATGATCATATTTGAAAGCCCAGAGCAGACAGACTGTTTTACAGCTTTCACATTTTACACTTTTGGGGGTGGCTGAGTGGTTAGAGCAGTTGTCCTCCAAAGCAACAGTTGCAGTTGGGGGATCGATTCCACCAGCAGTCCCATGCCGAAGTGTCCCTGAGCAAGACTCTGAACTCCTCATTGCCTCTGATGTGTGTCCCATCGGTGTATGCGTGTGATAAAGCTCTGATTATTCTTTGTAGAGATCTAGTAGAGTGCTGTATGAATGGGTAAATGAGGACACAGATTGCATTGTAAGATAGAAAGGCACTGCAGTGGATCTAAAAACGTGTTTTTATCGATTAGGAAGTCTTGCAGCATCAATGCAGCTCAGCTGAGGAGCTAACGTGAGAACGTTTTAAACAGATTGAAGGTCTTTTGGATAAACTAAACATTTCATCAAAGATTCCATCCAGACGACCTGACTCCACCTTAGATTCGTCTACCTGAATTATTATGAACAGTTAATTAAACAAAAAGCTAGTTGGTGTCGTTTATAAGATAACCCTGTTTACTTCAGAGCTCTGATGTGGACACCAGATCTGTGAGGATGAGCAGGATACATTTTTATTCTAGTGTCTTTTCCAAGTCAGGAGCTCAGAGGAGGGGGGCGCAGGAGGAAACAAACAAACAAACAAACAACATGGCGTGTTTTAGTTTAATTCATATCGAAGAACGAGCCTTCAGTAAACTGTACATCGACTTGATTTGCTGATGGAGCCTGTTTACACGAGGACGCAACAACAAAACGCCTGTTCGTCTCCAGTAAACCGCTGAAGCTCGGCTCGTAGTTCTGGGAAAAGTAGTCATCATGTTCTGGTGGGACTTTTCGAGGGGCGGGGCTTCATATTCCGCTTTCAGATGGGAAACGAGGAAAAAAGAAGAAGACTAGAAGAAAATTTAAAAATAAAAACTTGGCCAAACTTACGCGGCAGTCGGAGACAACGAGGAACAGCGACGTTCCGGCTGTGCGAACCCCGCGGAGGAAAGAGTCAGAAATCATTTTGTAACAAGTTCTCCCAGCCGGGACCCCCCCACCTCCTCCTCTCTCCCTACCCCCACTTCCATAAACACATCCAGGCGCGAGCTATCCCAGGAACAAAGTTGCTCTCCTCTCCGCCATTGACGCCTCTCAAACGGGCGAGCAGAGCCGTACCGACATCCTCTCCCGTGCGGTGCCCCCCTCCCGCCACATATAAACACTACAGGAATAAATCAGCGGGCGGTCAGCGTGACAGGACCCGAGCGGGACAAATGTCCCCACCACCACGAACACCACCCCCGCTCTGACACACGGCACGGCGCTGGAGACTCACTTCCACCGAGTGTGAAGTTAAATTCCGTCCGAGCAGCTTTTCAAGGACACTGCAGCTCACTGTCACAAGCTCGCTCTTTTTTTTTTTTTTTTTCCTGTCGCGACAGACGCGGGGTTTGTTGCCCTGCCTGGGGGGTGGGGGGGTGGGGGGAGACAAGCCTTAAAATGAAAGGGAGGAGGAGGGAAAGCCCGAAAGCCTTTACCTTTTTGCTGTTTCTGCTGTTATAGCCGCTGTATGGGTTGATTCCTGCCCTTGGCGGTACGGAGAGCAGCATTTTTCCTCGGCGCTATGTCCGGAGCGGCGAGCACAGCCCAGGCTGCCAGCTGACGTCAGCAGCTGGGGAAGCGCGAGCCTGGAGTCCCGCTGCTTGACGGAGAGTGGTGCTGCTGCTGCAGGACGGGGGCTCCGCTTGGATCCACACCCCGAGCCCGCCCGTCGCCGCCGGCCCCCTCAGCAGAGCTCCCGTGTTCTACTTCTGAGGACGGTTAGATCAGATCGACTCCACTCACCTGAGGATTTTAATAAATGGACATTAACATGTTCTGTTCTACCAACAAAGAAAAAAGAAAAATCAACTGACGGTCCGCGGACCACTTCCGGCTAGCTTGCCCCGCCTTTTCCTGCCCATATATGGGTGAAATGTTTCATTCATTCATTTATACAGGTTAGGACTCATTTACAAGTTATACCTGTTTTAGACAGACGACAATAAACTACAGTAAAAATGAAATAAAGATAAAAATTAGTGTTCACGTTGTGTATAGGTAGCAGTCCAAGGAGAGATTTATAGATGAAAATGAACCAGAGTGAGAGCCTACATGTAGAAAATCAGTGGGGCCATTGGCGTGGAACTCTCACATGACAGTATCATGCAATATATTTGAAACGTATTTGGAATATGTTTTTCATAGACGTACAATTCAGGACTTCTTACTTTTGAATTTTTATTCTTGAATTTGAAATTGAATTATATGTGGGAAGGTGACTTTGTCATAAATAAAAGGAGAAAATCAAGGATTAACTATTTCTACATAAGGGCAAGTGAAAGTCTGACTGCCAGTGAATGTGTAGGAGGTGTTATAGTTATTGAAATGCTATTTTTTAATGCAAGAACTGGATCAAACATCCCTCAAGATTATTATTTTTTGAACAATATGGGAGAAAATGCCATCAATTTACATTTGTTGAGATTTTGCTTTGTTTTTGTTTGTTTGTTTTTTCAGCTGATCCTTTCTGCCACAGCAAAACGACTCGAACAAAATATTGGCCCATTATTTTATGCTGGATGGCCTTCCTGACGCAACCTGTGCTCAAAGACCACAGCTCTGACCACAATGCGGCCCCTCAAGATTGGCTTAAATATGATATTTGCAGAACTTTGACTTTTAGGACACATTTATTTCAACCCAAAAACAATTATCGACAGTCCCTAACCCAGCTTCAGGCTGACGTCCATAAGATAAGCATAAACGAACAAAGTCCATGCTCAATCATCCAGGTATAAAATCCAACATTTTTCAGTCAGGTCATCTGGACAGTTTCTTTTTTTGTGCTGAAACGTTTCGCCTTCAATCCGGAAGGCTTCATCAGTCAAGGAAACACACAACAAAACTGATTCTTCCTCCAACAGCTTACTCCAAAGTGGAACAAACCAGTTCTGCTTGTGATTAGATGGTCTCTTTGGTACGCCCCTCCTTCATTGCCGGCCCTGTTGTGTGTTTCCTTGACTGATGAAGCCTTCCGGATCGAAGGCGAAACGTTTCAGCACAAAAAAAGAAACTGTCCAGATGACCTGACTGAAAAATGTTGGATAAGCATAAAGGATTTATCCCTCTTTGTAAAGTTGGTGATACTGTATTTTGTGCTCTCAAATAGCCTGATCTCAAAGTTTTTATTCATTTCTGTCCAATTCATAGCCAGCAAAAGATGTAATGTAGTTTTAAAGCCGTAAAAGGTGAATATGACGTTATTAGAACTTGCTGTACTCCATGTTCCAGCCAGCCATTATATGTTACCTGCTTCTTCCTTTTTGGGTCACGGAGGTCACCGGTGCCCATATTCTCCATGTTTGTATTTATAATTATTTGTGTCATTAACCAGTGCTTTTCTTAGTCCATCTTTAATTACACCTGGATTCTCATTTTGTGTTTTTCCGTGTCTCCCATCCTTTCAAACCCAAGCAGATGACTAACCATTCTGAGCCCAGTTCTGCTGAAGAAACAGAGAAAACCCATGCACACATAGAGAGAACATGTGAACGCCGCACAGAAAGGTGGCAGCCTTGTTCTGACCTGTGACATTTTTTGGTGTCAGCTTGAGCCGCTGCTGCACCGTGCCACCTGCGGCAAATCCCAAGAATTTAAAACGAAGTGGACTTCTTTTCTGTTAGTTAAAAGCATTTCACTTATTTTATTATTATTTTTTTTAATCAAAATGAGCTTTTTCATTTGAAAAGCTGTAGTTTCAAGTAGGAGAGCGAAAGTTTTTTTCTTACTTTGAAAATTGCTTTTTTAAAACATGTTTCATCATCAATCATTCCAGTCGCATGTGAATAAGAGGTGCATAAGACTAAGATCTTTTTAAAATACAAGTGTCAACGGGACACACATTAGTTATGTTCAAGTTATAATTCCTCAATCATATTTTGGACAACAAAATACCTCCACCAACATTTTCACTGTGAGCCTAGTTTCCAATGGGGTTGAAAGGGCAAAACTGCTCATCAGGACTAATTTCAGTGCATTTTTATTGTGTAGGCAAAAGTTAATGTCTTTCAGGTTACAGTGAATGCAGCATAATCTTAAATAAAGATGGGAAGAAAATAAAATCTACAAATCTGAAGTGCTCAGATTCAAACAGATGGTCTACAAAGTGACTGACGCCTCAACATAAGCTGTCATGTGCAGAAAATGTCTCATTTTCTCTCTTTCAATTTCCACCAAAATGGCGGCTTTGGTGTTTTGAACAAAGCACTTTCTCGCAAATGAAACATTTTGCCCAACTCAGGCTGTTCAAAGAGCTATCTATACCAGGTAAAATATTTATTGTTCATAACCTTACTCAAAAGATCTGAACCAGCCTTTTAAAGTTTAAGCCTTACACAATCATTTTTCACTCACAGGACATCGAATGTGACCAGCTGAACCTCAGCAGACATCTTCAGCCACGCACAGCGAGACTCTTTCTGATAAATGCTCCGTATGATCCAATAATTTAGAGTGGCCACTGTGCAGTTGGTCAAATACATTTTATGCCCACTTTAATGATGTCCTGCAGCTTCCTCTGAAGGTCACGGATGAAAGCTGTTAAACTGCAGACACACATACAGGGTGCCAAATCTGAACATGAGTGAATGAGTTGGACCCTGAAATTACAGTTCACTTCTCATTCATGGCTCAGTCACTCACTTTGTTTTTTTTAATATATGACTCTCCTGCATGCACAGTTCTTACCAACAGATTCCTCTTTTAGAAACACAGCATCAGTTGAAAGAATAAACTCAAACTGTAGGATGTTTCCAAAGATGCAAGATTAAAATATATATATGCCCGAAGGAGACAGCAGGGGAAACAGAAGCATCAAGACACTTAGAAGTGCACATGCTGGAAGGAGTGATTAGTGAGTGTAAAGAGCTGGGCTGATTAGAGCAGGAGAGGCTGTATGTAGGCAAATGATGGCAATCGACCCAAGGAGCCAAACTGAGTTGAACACCAAAAAGAATAAAAATAAAAAAAACAAAAACAATGCTGACTATCTATAAACACAATAAGAAACATGAGAATCATCTTAAGGCCTGCAGTGCAATAATTCAACAACAACGTAGAAATTTTACTCAACTGTCTATCATCGTCCTCACACTGCCAAATCTGTATTTTTCTTTTCATTTGGGCGGATAATAAAACGACAAACACGCCAGTGCGAAATACATGTTTTATGAATCTGAAGCCCAGACGATTTGTGTTTTTCTTCCCGTCAAGCAGCTCGTCTGTGTCTCTTCATTCAGCAGCGTTCAGGAACAAACAGTCACATTGTTGCACTCAGCAGAACCTCAGTCTGGTCCGACCAGCTTCTCTGACGCCACCAACCGTGTTTGGACATCAACAAGATAGTTGCTAAGGAACTCCCCCCTCCCCCCCATCCCAAGTGTTCTGGCCTGTGATTATATACAGTATATATAAAACCAAACCACTTTTCGCTGCTTTCTGTGGAAAAGGTGCACTGACTGTTTTAATTTGCTGTTTCAACACAAAATGCTACAAAATTCTGATTTTAAAGACATCAGCACATGTTGAGGAAATTCCACCCATTGACTGCGTTAACAACCATCACACCCAACCACACACACACGTATAAAACAGCGATCGTGAGGAATGCGTGTGTGTGGTGGGGGCGAACTGCTGACATTAAAGTGGACTGTTGTTTGAGAGGAAGGGGAGTCTGTGTGTGGAGTTATGAATGGTGTGGAGGGGTTCAGGAAGTTCATGTGTGAGTGGGGGTCTTGGTCATTGTCACAGCCGCTGCAGGGGTCAGGGTCAAGGGAGGGAGGAGGGAGCAAGAGAAGGATGAAAACTAAGAATTAAAATAACATTTAAAGGTTGTGGGTAAGAACACTGCAATGTATCAGATGGCATCTGCGGTAGTCTGAGTTTTACAGTAAAATAAACTGATGTTCATTGTTCACAATCAATTATTTTCTATGAAAACATTAAAAATTGCTTATGGTAAATAACTTTTAAACGAACTTTACAGATATTTAGGTCTAACAACAATCTCTCAGTAAAAAGAAACAATGCAACTATGACACATACTTATACACTGTAAGTCTATTTATGGAAAATAGCACGTAAACAAAAGAAAACCTAAATCTAGCTACATTTTTTCTGTAATAAAATAAAAATAAAAAACACAATGCAACTGTAAAATATCCATCCATCCATCCATTGTCTTTACCCACGTCTTCCCTTTCGGGTCGCGGGGGTCACTGGTCAGTGGTGCCCAAATCCAGCAGTCGCTGTCCAAAACATATTTTACTAAAATTTTTAATTTCCTGTAGTTTTCAGTGGTCAATTGAGTTTCACCATGAAACTTTAACGTTTTACTATAAAACATTTCATGATCATGCAAATGGTGTAACTTGAAAAATGTGGAATTTTACAATAAAAGACACCTGAGCAGCTGTTTGGCAGATGTTTATCACATAAAATACGACAAAGTATCACAGAGTACAGTATACGTTTTTAAAGCAGCGTTTGCGAGTTGAGAACAGTTTTCGGTAATAATGTATGGCACTGTACCACCATCCATCCATCCATCCATCCATCCATCCATCCATCCATCCATCCATCCATCCATCATCATTA